ACGCTGCGCCCAGGCGCGAGTCGTGCGGGCGGGGCTCGCGCGCTCCTCGCGGCGCGGCAGGACCCAGAGCGACCCCGTAGCTGGAAGCTGGCACGAGCTCCCACATTCCAGAGCAAACCTCTAGCTCCTGCCACCATCCCTCTCCCTGTCTTGTTAGTCTGTAAAGTGCTGCTGGACCATGTGCTGTTGTTGAAGTTTGTCCTGTACACACTAACTCGGCTACCCCTTGAAGTCACTCCTGCAAGTATTTTCCAACTTCCTGTAAAAGTAGCTTATTTTCCTTATCGATGAAGTGCGCAATTATCACTCTACATTTTATGTGTATTTCACACTGTTTGAGTGCGCAAAACATTAAAGTGTATTCAAAGGAAAGGGTGGCCTGCTTTAGGCTTTCCAAATTAAAAGCATTCTTCTGTTTTAGCTAGCACACATTGTAGTGAGATCACTGCCCCACCCACCTTGCTCCCTCTGAGCAGGGAACGCTAACCCCCCACTGCAAGCTGGGAGCAAGCAGTCCAGGCTCACTGCTGCAGCTCTGCATCTTCAGTGTAGTAAGAAGAAAAGGTTACTTATCTTTTAACTGTTGTTCTTTGAGATGTGTTACTCATGTCCATTCCGGTTAGGTGCATATATACTCTTGCTGGCCCTCCACCCCCTCAGTTCCTTCTTGCCGGATACTTCCGGACACGGGGAGGTGGGTGGGATGTGGAATGGACATGAGCAACACATCTTGAAGAATAACAGTTACAAAGTAACCTTTTCTTCAAGTGCTTGCTTATGTCCATTCCAGTTAGGTGACTCCCAAGGTTTCTTCAGGAGGTGGGGTTGGCGACCTAAACTGTAATAGACTGCAACACAGCCCTGCCTACTGCTGCATCATCCCTAGCCTGTTGGGCAATAGTGTAGTGAGTCTAAACATGTGACTGCAGGACCAAGTAGCTGCTCTACAGAGGTCAGTGATAGGGACCTGTGCTACAAACGTTGAGGGGCCATGCGCCTTTGTGGAGTGAGTCATGAACAGTGGTGGCTCCCATCCCACCTCCTTGTAATAGGCTCCAATATAGGCAGTTATCCACTTGGACAAGCACTGAGCTGACACAGGAAGACCCCTCGTTCTCTCAGCTATGGAAATGAAGAGTTGTGGTGACCTCCTAACCTCTTTTGTCCTATCAATGTAAAATGCTAGGGCTCTCCTTATGTCCAAGGAGTGTAGAGATCGTTCTCTCGGTGTTGCATGTGGTTTGGGGAAGATGACAAGGAGATAGATATCCTGCAACATGTGAAAATTGACACTACCTTGGGTAGGAACAACGGATGAGGTCTAAGCCTAATCTTGTCCTTGAAAAACACTGTATATAGGGGCTGAGGTGAGGGCCCTAAGTTCTGATACCCTTCTGGCCAACACGAGGGCCATGAAGACCAACCTTCCATGAGAGGTGTTTCAGGGAGCAGGTGGCTATGATTTCAAAAGGAGGGCTCATAAGCCCCATAAGGACCAAATTAAGATCCACGTTGGCAGTGGCTGTCTTACATGTGGGTAAAGCCTGTCTATACCCTTGAGGAATCATTTAACCAATACGTTTACAAACACGGACCTACCCCCTTCACCGGGGTGGAAGGCTGCTACAGCAGCTAGGTGGACCCGTAAGGATGAAGTTGATAACCCCTCCTGACCAAGGTGGAGGAGATAGTCCAAAATGAGGGGGATACGTGTCTTGAGAGGGTTAACCCCAGCCATGTTCACACACGGGAAGAAACGTTTCCATTTGGCTTCATAAGCCTCTGTGGTTGAAGATTTCCTGCTCTCCCCCAGGACCCTCCTAACTTCCTTTGAGCAAAGTTTTTCCTAGCCCGCTAACCACAGAGGTTCCAGGCTGCCACCTGGAGGAATGGAAGGTTTCGGTGGCACAACCTCCCCTCCCCCAGATCTTGTGTGATCAGGTCCAGGACTGGCGGTAGTACAGGGGCTCCTCCACTACCACAACCAAGAGCGTGGTGTACCAATGCTGGCATGGTCATCCCGGGGCTATTAGGAAGACCGCTGCCGTCCACTTCCTGATCAGCAGAAGTACCTTGTGCAGAAGGGGGAAGGGCGGAAACGCATACCGAAGGTGCCTGGGCCAATAAGAACATAAGAATGGCCATACTGGATCAGACCAAAGGTCCATCCAGTCCAGTACCCTGTCTGCTGACAGTGGCCAATGCCAGGTATCCCAGAGGGAGTGAATCGAACAGGTAATGATCAAGCCATCTCTCTCCTGCCATCCATCTGCACCCTCTGACAAACAGAGGCTAGGGACATCATTCTTTACCCCTACTGGCAAATAGCCATTAATGGACTTAACCTCCATTAATTTATCTAGTTCTCTTTTAAACCGTTATAATTCTAGCCTTCACAACGTCCTCAGGCAAGGAGTTCCACCGATTGATTATGCGCTGTGTGAAGAACTTCCTTTTGTTTTAAACCTGCTACCCATTATTTTCATTTGGTGGGCCTTAGTTCTTATATTATGGGAACAAGTAAATAGCTTTTCCTTATTCACTTTCTCCACACCCCTCGTGATTTTATATACCTATCATATCCCCCTCTTAGTCTCTTTTCCAAGCTGAAACGTCCCAGTCTCTGTAATCTCTCTTCACATGGAACCCATTCCAAACCCCTAATCATTTTTGTTGCCCTTCTCTGAACCTTTTCTAATGCCAGAATATCTTTTTTGAGATGAGGAGACCACATCTGTCCGCATATTCAAGATGTGGGTGTCCCATGGATTTATATATTCTTCATCT